CATCCTCACGTGTTTGTTGAGAGAGATTAATTTTCCTCATATGTTGCTTCCCCGTCCCCGAAAACCGAGAGAAGAACAGCGAGTAGTGAAAAACCCTGTCGCCAAAACTCTTTATTTTCAAGCTTGACTTTTTACAATTTTGAAACTTTGTTGCGTAGATATTAATTCTGAAAGAAGTGATGAGGTCTTGTATGACTTTGTACTTCTCCCATAGTTCATGTTCTGTCAAACTTACCTCGCCATGGATCTTTTCATAAGTTCCATGAGAATCGTCTTCGGACAATCCAGGGAAAAGTATAATGTCAGTAAGTATATCTCTTTACATCCTACTTAAACTCTTGGCTGTCTGTACACCAAATGACAAAACAGAGATGTTAAAGTGTCTGAGCTTTTAAGAATTCGACACATTCTTGTTCTCTGTTCTTGTAACAAAGATTGAGAAGCAAAGTCGATCTAATAAGAAGAAGCAGCTATGAGGGTACGTTTTCCAAGTTTCGTAAGATGCAATTTTCTTGTCAAATTATTCTATCTCTTTCTGTTGTTTGAAGTGTTTCGTCTCTAATATTCTCTGCATTTCCTCATTGGCGTTAAACTTCGAATTATATTACTTCATTATAGCATTAGCTTGTCAATAACTCTTCTTTGGTACTTTCTTTTCCAATCTAACAACTTCAGTATCCTTTACGATACAAGCTATTAGACTTTATAATATCTTTGAACGAATTGACGGTTTGGTCAAATTGACCAGAAGTACTACAAATAACAACTAACTCATAGAATGGGTTTTCTCATCTAGTTCTTGTTGTTGTGCAGCCATTTTAAGATAAGTGAAAGTCTTACCCGACCCAGGTGGTGCAATTAGACCTGTTATACCATTCTGAGCAAATAAGAACTTTTCATGTATAGGTTTATCTGAGCATTTTCTAACTTCCTCTTGTTCTTCTTCAAAACATTCTCAAATTTTTTGTCAATGTCAGCAAACTTTTTTTCTAACATATTTTTAGAAAAATTAAAATTTTTATCTTTTAGAAAATTGTCTAGTGATTTGATATCTAATTCGAGACAAGCTTTTGACTCTAAAACTTCTGTCGACCATAAAATCTTACATAGTGTAAACAAGAAAGGTGAATTTGTTCTAAAGTTCTGTTTCTGGGAATATGACAAGAACCATAAAACATTAAGCAGAGCAGTCTTAAAATTTGTCAATGACAGACTTGTTGACAGAGATGACGCCGATTGGAAAGATGAAGTCCAACAAAAGTTCTTAGAATGCAAGAAGGCACATGCGCTGTTCTTGAAGATGAAATAGAAAACAGAATAGAAGAGCTATTAAAGGACAAAGAACTTTTACATAAATATGGTTCTGAGAAATTTGACATAACTCCACCAGAGAAGAAGAAGAAGAAAGAAAAGAAAGAAAAGAAAGAGAAAAAGTAGAAGAGAAGAAAGAACCTGAACCAGTTCCAGAGAAGGGAATATGACATGTAAAAATAAAATTTTATTTTTAGAACATTTCTGGGTCAATGTCAATGTTCTCTTCCTCTTTAGGGCAAACACTGCTTAGACTCTAAAATCTTTTTACCCAATTTACCTTGAACTTCAACTATCTTAGACTCATAATATTCATAGTCGTCTGTCTTCTTTGGTTCATAAGGTATAACAAGTTTGTATGCTTTACCTTCTTTAAGGTTTGAGAACCTTCTGTCAAAATTTTCTTTGACTGCTAACAAACCTTCTATGTCTAAGTCTTCAAAAGTTCACCACTTTTTCTAAACAACAGCAAACTTAAACTGGTGCAATGTTCCAAATTTGTCAAATGTAGACTTTTCAAAATTGTAGAAGTAAACATTCAAATATGCGAATGGAGCTACTTATCTTGACTTCTGTCATGTACTTATTTACTGAATTTTCGTCATCTTTTCTATCGGATAAAAAAATATTTTTTTTAAAATTTACTCAGAAAAATTTTTCTTTGTATATACACCATTCTGAACATCTAAAAGACTTTTGACATTTGCCAAGAATGTCGTTTAGAAGCTGCCATATAACCATATTCTTGACAATATTGTTTATACGAATCGTACAATGACCTTTCATCTAATGACACAAAGTCAGTTTCATCTATGAACAGTTCATATACACTCTTGTTTGCTTCTAACAATGTTTGTCTCTCTTCGGTATGTGGAATTTGTCTTGGATTGAACTTAGAAATATCTAATGTCATGAAATATGAGAACAAGTGGTTGTAAAAGTCAGATGTCAAAGTTTCTGCTAAGTCGTCAAAATATTCTGTATCTTGCATATGAGAATCTGACGTTCTGACAACTACATATCTTCTGTCAGAACTTTCTAACTTCATCGGAACAGTTTGTTTGAAACCATAATGAAGTTTGCAACATTTTCACAAACTCTTTGGTCTTTATACTTTCTTTCAACAACTCCAACTTTGTCTGTTATAAGACTCTTCAAAGCATCTGAGTTCAAAACTTTTGTTGTATCTATACTTTGAAGTTCATTGCAAACTATAAGTTTCATATTCTCTATTGAAGAGTTAAATTTACCGCAGATGTTTTCTAAGTTTGTCATATTCGGATTCGAATAACCTTCTAACAGTTTGCATAAGATATCTGTAAAGAATGTGTTCTTACCAGTTCCTTGTTTTCCAATTATAATGAGAGCAGTTTCATTTTTAGCACTTGGATGTTGTAAGATGTTTGCAAACCAACATAAGATATACTCATAACTCTTTCGTTTCCATTGCATATAATTTCTTTGACATGGTCTAACCAAGCTTCTATAATATTTTCTTTCCATTCTACTTGTTCGTATTTATATCCAGTGAAGATAGAATAGAAGTTTGGAGAAGGTGTATAGAACTTTATACCTCGAACTGAAAAATCTTCTAACTTTGACAATAAGATATCCCAAGCATCTAACATCTTCATGCCAACTTGTACGACTTTTATTTTCTTAAGTTTCTGTCTACATTCTTGTTCAACACTATTGTTGCTCTTGGTTTGTTAAAGACAACATCCCATTCTTTCATGACATAACATTCTGGGGCAGAGTCAACATAAATGACTAAACGTTTCAAATTCTCGACTGCTTTGTTATAGTCTCTAAATGGACACATATTTCTGAATGCTTGGAAGTCATAAAAATCTGAAACATCTATTCTGTACATTTTATAAAAATAAAAAAAATATTTTTTTTATTCTTGACTTTGTTGCATTTGTTGCATTTGTTGTTCTTGAGCTATTTGTTGTTGAAGTTGTTCTTGTAATACAATACTTTCACCAGTTGCATCTTCCAATTCGAAACTTTCTGCCGTCATTGACAAATACATAGGACATAAAAGTTTTACAGGAACAAAGTTTGCGTCAACTAATGTCAACGTTATACTTGCCAAAGTGTTTGAGTTCACTAAGGTTGAAAATTCTGCATTCGAATGAACAATAGGCAAACCAGCAGAGAAAGTATTGTTTATACGCATAAGTATCTTTTGGTCATAATAGTTTCTGTCGACATTCGAATAACACTTTGAACCTAAGTTTGAAACAATATATAAGATTGGTGTGCTTAAATGTCAATGGAATAGACATTCCTTGTATGACACCTTTTCCTGTTATAGGAAACTGTTGGTAGTAAAAACCAGAATATAAGTTTTGTATTATAGCTCATATCGTTTATAGTAAACTCAGTCGGACATCCAAACATAATGAAACCTGCTCTAGTTGCAGCACATGTTACATCCGTCCTTAAAGTATTAAATAAGTCAACAAAACCTGTTGGTGGTATATCTGAGTAAGTATCTTCAAAGGAGTATTTTTTACCATTCACAACAATAAAGTCTTCTGGTGTCAAAAGAGCAAAACAGGCTTTAGTCGTCATTGTGTTTAAGGTTAGTTTACAATATCGTCCTTGAGGACTTTGTAAGTTTGTTGTTATAGAATTATATGACTCAGGGTTTTTAGTCGTAATAGTATAAACCATTATGTCTTCTGCCATTTACTTAGCAAATAAATTTTAATGAAATGTTGTGGTCGTCAAATATTTTTATGACGTCTGGGAAACTATATTTTAAGTTCAACGTTTCACCTCCTTTCATAACGTATATCTTGTCAATGACATTATATGAAACACCACAGCAACTAATGTCGGGTTCTATTTCTTTGATGTTTATATCGTCTGCCTCTGTCAAAAGTTTCAATAGTTCTTTCAAAACTTCATGAGGTGCAATGACATATGAGTTCACTTTTACAGGGTTGTGTTCGACCAAGTTTAACATTATACTAAAGCTTGACAAATCTTCTCCTGAGTTTGAAGTTTGTCTTTCAGTTGTTGGTAGTCATTTCGAATATCTGCAACAGAACTTAAGTCTCTGCTAACTTCAGGATATGTTGGTTGTTCTTTTACAGGAACAATTGTTATACCATCTTCGTCTTCGTATGGTTTCCCCACTTCAACATCTCTTTCTTTGACATTGACAACAACACTTTGACTGTTTGTTTGAGTTGGTGAATTTAACTTCACATCTGCCACCGCCATTAAACCTTTTGAAACACTACGCTTCTATTTTTCGGAAATGACATTTTAC